GGAAGGAGTCAACTTTCCTCCTGGTGCTTCCCAGCTCCTATCATCTCCTGATTTTMCTGGAGCATTTTACAGCTCATGTCTAATAACTTGGGACTGAGAGACCTTAAAGAACCTTGAAATCAGGTATAATCTTAAGATGTAGTTTTTTTTCAGCTAGATGTTGGATTTCAAGCAGTTTGTGGAGCAACAGGATAGCATTGGCTATCAGACGTTCTTGATGTGTCCAGTGATGCTCCACCTGGTGCAGATCTCTGAAAAACACACACATCAAAAGGCTTTTATTATTGAAATTTTTCTGGCTTCCCGTGGAATACTTTAGCCTGTTATTGTATGTGTGTGTCAAAAAATTTCTGTCCAGTTATGCTGACAAATCAAAACAAGTTGAAACCGTTTCAAGACACCAATGAAATTCCCAGCACCACTTGAAGTGCCTTTGTGCAGCAGGAGGAGAGTGAGTCATTAGTTTTTGCAATTTATTCCTATGCCAATAAGCTTCCGTGTCAGATATGCCAATAAAGATAAGTAGAAACAAAATCAGGCCTCCGTGGCCTGTCCTCTCTCCCTGGATTTCCAGGAACGCCCTCAGGAACCCCCAGGCAGAGAAGGGAGAGGGTTTACCTGGCTGAGCCCTCCTGCAYGCACACAGCATCTTATTTTTTGGACCAGTGTAGGTTAAAATCCTCATTTAATTTTCGTTTTTACCCCGTGTCCCCCTGCCACCCCTTCATGTCCTCAATCCGTGTGTGTTGACGCCCCAGAGGTGTCGTCATGTGCAGCTGCAGGGCAGGAGCTGGAGAGATAGGGGTGACCTGAGCACTGGCATGGCCTGCCACCTCTGCCAGGACAGTGCCCTGCTGGCAGCAGTGKCACTGTCCTCATTAGCTCTATCAGCTGTGGATGTGGCACAGAACATCCTCAGGCGATGGCTTGWGCTCGAGGGATGGAGGAAGGTCAGGGAGCTTTATGATCTGCCGTGCCATAAACACACCATGACTCTGCACATACGGCCGACTTCCTTCAGAGCACCTCAGCACAGGCAGAGCTGCCTCAGAGAGCAGTGCCTGTGCAGACACAGACTTCTGAAATCAGAGYTGTCAACTCATAGCTCTGATTAGTGTTGAATCATAGGTCAATGAAGGGAGGCTTCTCTGAAAGCAATTCGACACTGCAAGGCAGCCCTGCTGGGAAGAGAAGTGCTGTTGGGAATGTTCAGGGATCCAGTACAGCCCGTTCCAGTAGAGCACCCTTGGCTAAGTCACACTCCCTGGTAGCTGGGACCAGCTCAGAGTATACCGTGGGAGAACTACAGGAAAGTTGATGGGTTGTGGGCAGCCCTACACCCATCCTGCAACTGAGTTATTTTAGARCTACACAGAGGCCCAGGGTTAGATTCCTAAATTCTCAGCATTCAAATACTGAGGCCCCAGCCTCCCAAACAGTCTGAGCACATTTACTGCATCTAATATTGTGCAGGCTGTCTCCATTAAATAGCCATTGACCATAAACTCTGACAAGACACTTCATTTGTAACATTAAAATAAATTTGTAACATTAAAATAAATTTGGATTTCACTGAAACCCTTGAAATGAAATTCTTCTCTCAGGTGCATCAGGTAAAACTAAATCCTCTCTCTACCATTTAAGGCTGTGTGGGCTAATTAGACCTGGAACAATGATGAACTGGAGCCATTTCAGTTCTTGGCCACATCAGTTTTACCACTCCATCCATTAYGACAACACTGAAATATTTCACAGCTTTAGRACATTYCAAAAAATRAGGAACCTGACGCTTGACAGTGCYAGCTAAAACCCCTCAGAACCCTGTGGATGTACACCCAAATTTTGACTTGTGCAACCAAAACATATTGTTTTGTTGTGTCCTTCCACAATATCACAACATCTTTTTAGTACTTGTTGCCTGAGAGGGGTTTTGGAGGGGAACAGACTGGCCTAAGCTGAGATATCTTCCGCTGAAGAGGATGTACATGGTACTGCCTTTTATCAAGCAGAGAAGAGGATGGTGAGTCTGAATTGGAGCTTGAAGAGCAGAGGCAGGAACAGAACAGTCACATTTTAAAGTAAAAAAGAAAGAAACAAGGATATATCACCCAACAAGGATATAGATGGGACAAGGTAAGTCAGATATGGAGACAGGAGGAGTTGCACTGAAGCAGTGCCCAGCTGTCCAGCTGTATTTGGCTGAAATCATGGAAAACTCCCCAAATGCAAGTTTGGCACTGCTCCCTTGCTAGCAAATACCTGTGAAAATCTGCTGGCAACATGTGCACTCCATCAGTATGGATGTGGAGACGAGGAGACAGGATGTGGAGACAATCTGTCAGGACAAGGAGAACTTGATGCTGGCAAAAAGCTCCTTGGAGCCTGATGTGGAGATCAGGCAAAAAGCTCCTTGGAGCCTGATGTGGAGATCAGGCAATAGGCACTGGAATCCTGGTGTGTCTATATACACATATATACATACATATATACATGTATACCCTGATCAAGAAGAAAATCAAAGTTGGGAGGAGGATTTGGCAAAGCCATTTTTAAACCTGTGCTCTCTTTGTGTAATGTAGCTATAATGATGTATTTTTTTATTGTGATGTAATTGGCAGAGTTTTAATAACAGCTTTTCCTGCAAGGTGCTGAACATTCTCTTTTCCCTGAAGTTACTGCTGTTCAGGATACTTGCAGGGATCCTTGCATCCCCCTTGCAGGGATAGGCCTTATTTTGCAAGTATGGCAGCATTTGGGGAGGACAAATTTGAGCTTCGTTTCCCCTGGATCACCATTACACACGCTGAAAAGAGAAACTAATACAAAAAACAACTGAGATGAGCTAAAAGAACTGGATTTTTTTGCTACTGTATTGCTTCTGTCTTACGCTTTAGCAATTTCTGTTGTGAATGATTAATTCAGGTCCAAGTCATTAGATGAGACAAATGTGCTGATTCAAAACATAACAGGAATGCAGGTGGAAATGAAAGAGAATAAGCATGGTAAATATGCAACACATTTTATAGTAAGATTACTTCTGCCAGGTCAAGGCAATAAAGTTTTACTAGCTTGTGCTAGATGCAAGTAACTGGAATTATGACTGTAAAATAAAGCTTGCAAATCTCGGTATTCAGATTAATATAGACATTCAGAATAACACACAAACAGGAGTTTTTTTATGAGTTGAACATACTCTGTATATCTTAAGTAACCAAAGTGAGATCTACTGACGGAGGGTAGATTTTGGGGTATTTATACCTTAAGGTATGAAGCAGTGGCTTCCGTGTTCAGTCTGGGAGCAAGAGGAAAATGTTGAGCTTTTTTGAGAGATTCCCTAATTCCTTCCACCAGTATCCAAGWTTTTCTTGTACCCCCATTGACCCACCTGATCAGCTCCTGTAAAGACTCCCCATCTCCTGTCATCCTTAGTGATAGGGAACATCTTTCCAGAGTGTATTTTCCATGGTTTTCAACCCCACCTGGCCCTGCATGAGTGGAGTGCATGGTTTRCTGATGGCACAGGTCATATTTTGCAGGTGGCAACAGTTTAAGGGCAACTTTATAGGTGAGAAGATTGCGTCTCTTTGAGGCTGAGAAAGGAAAGGGGGGGTGGAAATCAATTTTACATTGCTGGCTTTTCTGGAGATTAGATAAGAAATAAGCAAGCACAGAAACTGGTAACTGTCCTTACTCCTTGTGAGCAATCCTGGCTGCTCCTGGTRTTTCTTGGCAGGGTACGTCTATTTATTAACTTCTTACCAGGRCTCATGGGAGTACAACAGAGAATCAGCTCTTCTGACCAAACCCAAGTTGTTATTTATGATAAAAGAAGAACATTGGTAAAGCTGGAAAATTCCTGAAGCATTGATTCATTTTAAAACAAGATTTGCATGGAGGTTCTCAAATTGAAGATATTGGAGGRCCTTGGCTGAATATGTTGAAAGAGTCTTTCAATAGGAGTAGTGAAACAATTGGAATTTTGAAGAAAAGAATGTAAACCAGAGTAAATTAATTTGTGGCCATTGAAAGGAAAATTGAAAATACTAAGCATTCTAAGATGTTTTGGTTCAAAACTGAGCTGTTTATTTTATATGTGATATAGTTTCATTGTTTGATGTCACTTTAAACAAAAGTGGAGCTTTCTGTTTAAAAAATATTAAAGACAATTTCCGCAGGTTGAATTTTTTTTTTTTTAAATCCATTTGAAAAGAGCTAATTAATGACAACTGCCTCTTTCCTGCAAGAGACTTTTGTTTTGATAAACCTGCATATTCTGTGGAAAGATTTAAAAATCCTCAACCACTTCAGTCATGAAACATGCAGGATTAAAGCTGATGTTAAATATACATACATAATCATCATTTAAATATCTATTTTCAGTTATGATTTTTGTTGCCTATACTCTTCTTATGGAGACATGTAACAACTTAAAAAGTGGTTGTGCCTCTAAGTGCTTCTGGTTTTAAGGTTCCTCATGCTGAAATCAGAAAATCTTCCAAAAACTGGTTCCTTAACATCACAAGAKTCAAGCAGTTGCAATCAGCTTGCACTTTTGAAATGTCAAGATGCTGTATATTTGATAAAATGAAACAAATAAAAAAAAATTCATTCACATATAATGAAACATTATTTTTGTAATATTGAAAATTATTTTAAGATGCAGCTTTTTCCTTGGAAGGTAAGAATAGTATCCAACAATGTATAATTTACAGAACATTCATAYTAAGCCTATTTTAAGGCACCATGTAATGTTCATTATTGTTATTTTTCTCTATGACATTTTGAATATTACCTCATTCTTTTATCTGGAGAGCCAATAAATGACAAATGGGATGCATTTTTTGTGACTCAGCATTTCAGTTATTGATTAAGTTAGCTCTAATACATCAGTTGCCTTTATCAAGTACCTGAAAAAACCCCGATTTCTGATAGGACATCGTGGTGTGTAGCAAAGTATATAAGCATGAGGTTCGTATTGCTCAGTCTCAATTTGTCACTTCAAACCATCTGACTGAGAAGTGACTCTTAAATCCTCCTCATATCCCTGTTATCTGATTTGCAGGAATCCAAGACTTAAGCAACCATGTCGAACTCCRGCGAGGCAGAGCTCCTACACACATTTAAGGGGATTCCCTTTACCACCAGGTCTTCTCCAGAACTTTTAAAATCCTTGGATACTTTTGATGCTAGAGAAGATGATGTCCTTTTGGTTTCCTATCCCAAATCGGGTAAGTTCTGGTTTTAAATGTTAATTGCARGAAGTCTCAATTGTGTGTTTCATGTTCTCTACTTAAAGTGCTTGGCAAATGTCTGTGTAATAGAAACAGGAAAGGATATCTGAGTTTGTGAATATATTATTCTCTCAGTAAGTGTTTAGATTACAAGAAATRTGGGTCATTTACCTACATTTTGCTTCTGTAATTAAAAATAATCTCAGATACTTTCATATTGAAAAGCAAATAAATATTCCTCACCTGTAAGCAAAATCTGTACTTTAAAGATTTTCTTGAGGACTTTCTACATTCAATTATGAACAAGTCAAGAACTGTATGAATTTATTTGTATGGCTCTCGGCTGTAGATTTATTAGTTTCTTATCCCCTCTCCACCCACCTCTGTTGCACACAGAAGCACACACCAAGGGGAAGCTCAATCACTACTTTCCAAATATACAGACTCAATTTTCCATAAGAAAAAAATATCCCCAAACAAACAGATTATTCTAAAATAAATTATTAAAAATAATCTAAAAATAATCTAGCCAGCTCTCAGCTGACAGCAGCTTGTCTAATGAGGTGGTGTGGGTCTCAATATTGACACTTCTCACAGAGCTAACATTGTAATTCAGCTACAGCCCTGATTTTTAAAGTGTTTAWAGTTTTGGAGCCAAAAGGATTATTTAATTGTGTAAAGTTACTTGAATCCGGAGGATTAGAAGTATAAAAGCAGTTTCCATATGAAAAAATGCATATTCCACATTTTTTCTCAATATTAAATATTAATTCATTTTTGTTTGTTTATTTTATTTTCTTAAAATTGCTCTTCTCTAGGCACCCACTGGCTTGCAGGAGTTATAACAAAGCTTTATAATACTCAAGTTACAATAACATCTCCCATTGAATTTGGAGACATTTCCAAACTGGAGGAGCTGAATAAACTCTCATCAAAGAGAATCATCCCAACACACTTAGACTACAACATGTTACCTCCAAATTTTAAAAATAAGAAATGCAAGGTAAGGCAAAAATTATATCAAAGCATTAAAATATGTAGGCTATCCACTTGGAATCTATTTTGTTCTGTTGATCCCTAATAATTTTAGAATAATTTTCAGTTTTCAGAAGTGTTTTGCTGTGAATTTCGGAGACACAGATGACCAGCAGTTGAAGGCAGCATGAGCAGAGGCTTGGACTACGGATTGGGTTCTGCTCCTGCCTCACTGTTCCCATGGGCGATTTCTACACTAGGCCCCACACAAAACAGAACAAAACCTGTAATCAGAAATGTCTTGTTAAGAATGGGGGTGTTCTCATTACCTCATTTCCTACTGTCTTAGAAAATAGTTATCTTGGGTTCTTACAGGCTGTTTAGGTATTAAAGCTCCCTGCAGGAGCTTTGTGAAGAGCCCAGTAAGGTATTGGGTAAACAGACCAGAAATGAAACGTGGGAGGCAGATTCAGATCATGGTTTTGAGTTTATGGTATCACAGAATCACCTGGGTTGGAAAGGACCTTAAAGATCATCTCATTCCAACGCCTGYCCTGTGSGCAGGGACACCTTCCAGTTTCTCCCATGCTAATGTGAGAGATCTTTAAAAAATAAACTCTGGGTCTCAGCTTTTATATTAAAAGCAAAAAAAAAATATCAGGATTATTGAGATCCAGAATTTTGGGACAAAGCTAGTTTGAATGAAAAGCCAAAGWTTATGTTTTGCAACTGTCCTTTGAATGTTAATTAGTAAATGCTTTCATATGTGAATTTATGAGATAATACACTGACTCAGAGTTAACACAGGCTTTTTCATAAAACATGAACATTWCCCAGCTGTGGCAAAAACACATCTGTCCAGATGGAATTGTTTATTAATCACTATGGACACCTTACTAAGAAGAGACAAATACATTTCTAATTTAATGTCACTGAAGGAGGAATCCTAAAGGAAAGGGATTTGACAGTGTAAACTGACTATGACAATGTTCTATTTACAGAGAGCTCCTCCAAAATAAAGGAAGGATAGTATCATTAATAACCATCTTATCTTCATTTACAGATGATMTACATCAGCAGAAATCCAAAAGACACTGCAGTTTCCATGTTTCATTACTACAGAGAAAACCCAAACCTTCCTACTGTAGACACCTGGACTGCTTTCTTTGACTTGTTCTTAAAAGGGAATGGTAAGCATAAATGYTTTTTCCTTGCAGTTCTTGTTAGTTTCTTGTGCACAGAAAGAGTTAAGAAATTTAAACTCTTTGAAAAACTCCTTATTGAACTCCTTATTCACATGGCATTAGTTGGGATTGGTGAGGATAAATTCTGATGCCAAGCTAAATAAGAGCAAAYAATGGGATGCTTTCTTCAGCCCTGCAAGGAGTCATTCTGACAAGCAGCTGCATCTTTCCATCACAACTGCTCTTTGCAGGTTTTTGCTGCTCTTTGCTGTCCTGGGGGAGCAGGGCAGTGATTGGCAGCAGGGCACGTGAGGAGACTGTCACCAGGCTGCAGGGACAGCTGTGACAGCAGGTCTAGTGTCTTCTGCAGTCTGGGAGACAGCCCTGGCAGCCCAACAAAGGAGTCTGRACATGTTCATAAAGCCCTTCTGCACACTCTCTGCCTGATGTGTTTCTTAGAAATGGGGTCCAAAGACCAAGGACAAGAATTTGTCCTGAGATTTTTCAGAAGTGGTGGGATGGAAGTTGGCAACAGGACCTTGTTCACGTTATCCACTCCCATTTTAGTGTTTTATTACTCCTTTGAGGACATGTGTCACCAACAGTGACGATAACAGCAATAATGACTGATCAGCTTGAAAACTCTGAAAGAGAACTGCCACTGCAGTCATCACAGGCTCACATCAGAGCTCCAGAAGTCAATTTTTTTACTGCCTCCTCCAGGCTTTGGCTCAGGTCTCATGTTCTTAGATCAGAGCAGCCCTGAGGCACATGCTCCAGGGATTTGCAAGATTTTGGCTTGTTTTGTATCAACTCTGGACGTACAGTAGTGAAAAAAAAATGAACAAGGATTCTGTTCAAGGCCAGATTGGATGGGACTCTGTGAAGCCTGTTCAGGTGGAAGGTGTCCCTGCCCATGGCAGGAGGATTGRAACTAAATGATCTTTAAGGTCCCTTCCAATTTTAACCATTTTGTGCTTAAAGGATTAAATTTTAAAAGCATCTCTAATTTACCTGTAAATTTTTAGCCACCTTCTATTTTCCCAGTGTTTATGTGTGGCATAAATAGATAACCATKTTGGTTACAACAGAAATTTAGGTAAGAGGTGATGAGGAGGGAAAGGTTGTAATTTTTGCTCCCAGYAGAAACATTTCAAGGTTGTGCTGCTTGATCCAAATCCTGCAGTGCTCTTGCACAGTAAATACCAGTTCAAAACAAGGGTTGGGACACACAGGGACAATTGAATGAAGCWTCTGGAGTCTCCAAGGCTCTCCTGAAGCCACCAGGGCTGTGCTATCCCTGGCCACATCCCCAGAGTAGCCGACCAAGGGAGCAGGGTTTAATTGCACACTGTGGAGCACACATGCCTTGCATTTAGAAACTGCACTATGTGCTGGAGAGGGCTACAGACTGCAGCATTAAGCTTAATTATAGCTGTTAATGGTAATTAATACTTAATTATAGCTCACAGTTTGCAACCAAAATGATACCCACTACAAGATTATAATTTGCTGGTGGTGGTGGTTATAAAGCAAAGTCACCGTTTTGGAGAATGCTAGCTGAGCTTGCTTAGTTCAGGCCCCTTCTTACTGTCCTGCAAGAGGTTTCCAACCTCCCTTTGAAATGGAAAAGTCAGAATTTTTGTTTTTAAAAGAAAGCTGAAATTCAGCTGTCCTCCCATCTTTCAGCAAACAGGACATTTAGCCAAAACAACTAGTATGAGCCAGCTATAAACTATTTTATCTACATCCTTGGCTGAATGAGTCATTTGCATAAGTTCTTCACATAACTCTTCTTTGGCATTTAAAAATTATAGAGATTCCCTTCAGCTGGGATAAAAGAGAATGTGCTTCATTAACCAGACTCCTCATTCCATCTCCTGCTGAGGTGATTGTATCTCTAGCTGTGATCACTGTCATGCAGTCATGTGTGGGATGTTCAGATCTCATCAGGCCGGTGCATTTCCCTTCATCATTGGCCTTTCCTTAGATCTGGAGCCTGTTTCATATCTCAGAGCAGTATCTGCATCTCTGATACGAAAACGAATTCCAGCAGGAATGGAAACATCTTTGGATGTTAYTTTTGTAAGGTTGGGTCACTTGACACAAAGAACTGCCTCAGTTTTAGAGGAATACGGGATACATATAATGAAGGGACCATTCCCCCAAATGTGTGAGGAACCATCACAGTTATTGATGCATAAAGTTTGTCTGAATCTGTTTTATATGGCTTTTCTCTTCAGTTGTCTGTGGATCCTGGTTTGATCATTTCCTAAGCTGGGAAGAACATGAAGATGAAAAAAACATCCTATTTTTGTTCTATGAAGACATGAAGAAGGTAAATATGCTCTCTGCTCTTAGTTCAGAAGGCAGTACTTGTAAATTAGCATCACTAAAACATCAAAGAGCAAGTTACAATGAAAAAGGAGAAAAAAAAGAAAATGTGAATATMTAACTTTGGGCATATTTTATATTTGCATGCAATTTTATATTAGTGAAATAATTCTGACTGCACAAGTGATATAAATATTAAATCCTGTGAGAGCTGCATTTCTTAGAATCAGGAATGGGACTCATATTACATAGTTTTCCCCAAGCTGCAGGGAGAATTTTAAGTTCCTCTTTCTTCCTGCTAYAGAAAGGCCAACACAAAGACATCTRTTGAGGGCCACATATYAATCGGCGTGCCCGAYATTTCAGSTGAAATTATCAAAAAGTGATGTAAGAGAACAGAACTACTCATGGTCAGTGCGTCTTGTCAATAAAAAAAAAAATTGGAGGCTGGAGGGATAGCGAAAAWATCTTGCKGAAAGGAAATTATCATACAGACACTTTGCTATTCTTAAAAAAGAAWAAGCAAAATATAATATACCTTAGCTTTCAGAGAATGAACTTTTAAGTAACAAGAAAACACTTCCTAGTTTCTCCTTCTGAACAGTTTTGTTCATTCTTGGGGGAAAAAGAATTTCCCTCCTAGGAATATAAACAAAGCATTTTGGATGCTGGATCACTTGTTAGATCTCTAGATATGGCCTCTCCAATGAAATTAGTTACTTACACTGGAGCTGGGCTTTTAGTATTCCTCTATTCCCAGTGATGTAATTCCAAGAGACAGGAGAACATTTTCCTGAACTAGGAGGTAAAATTGACAATGTGACTCTATTTGATCTGACATACTCTGCATTTATTCATTTCTGTGAGTTTGTCTAAGAGGGGAGTCAAGTTTACTGTACCTGTCATCTGCACAGTCCAATGACATATTCAGCTTTACTTGAAAGCAAATAAATGTGTGACAAACAACTTAGGCAATAGAAGGGATCCTTCTCAAAGTCTGTTCATCTGCCCAGAAATATAAAAGCTGTGTTTTTCTTATACTTCAGGATCTCCCTAAGGTTGTAAAGGAAATTACTTTGTTCCTGAGTTTAAACGTCAGTGACAACGACATCCAAGACATCTGCGAGAAGTCCTCRTTCTCAGAGATGAAGAACGACACAGAGAAGGAGAACAGTGATCCCAGTCATACYGTGTGTGCTCTGACATCCAACAGGAAGCTGATATTCAGAAAAGGTGAATTCCTTCATGCCCAACACAACAGAAGGAGTGGGAATCCAGGCAGAGGCCACAGTGCAGGTCTTTCCTGGAGTGTGGGGATGCTTTGGGTCAGTCACAGGAAGCAATGATAGGATTCTTCCATCTGAAGCCCTCTTCAAGATCACTCTCTAAGTTCTCTGGCTGCAAATTCAGACTTGTACKAGAGAAGCACAGAATCTGAGCTACAGCCTGACAATATGGGAGCTGTTGAGCTAAAAGGAAAGGTTCACCCAGCATTACTCTTTATCTGTCTTTTTTTATCTGAAAGTTGACCACCTCAGTGTTTTACGACATGTCTCTGATATCACCTGCCAAGGGCACCTAGCTTACTCGACTAAGAAAGAGCCAGACACATTCCTTCTGAATGAGGCTGCTCTTATCACCCCTTATCTTAGTGAAATATTCCTGAGGAAGGAATATGTTGACAACTACAGCAACAACAAAAGCACACTCATAGGTAGCCTCCAGACCTTGGAAAATCTTCCACAGTGCTTAGCTCAGATGTGATTTTAAAATACCTGCAGGAGCTGCTTTCTTGCTCCTGGCATTTCCACAGATTYGGCTAACAAAAATCAAACCCATAATTTTGACATGGATTTTGATGATTTTTTTTCAGTTAATTTTTCGACAACAATTGACAGTTTAAAATTAAGGGTTGTTTCAATTAATAAACAGAGAAAGGTCATCTTCTGTTAATTCACAATGTTTTTACCAATCAGCAGAAACAAATGACAACATAGAGTCTGTCAATAAAAAAGAAACACARATATGAGATGCAATTTTCTATGACAGTGAACTTTGAAAAAGATATATTGAAAATTTTGAAAAATCCCAGCAGTTTCACTTCCTAGTAGTTCCTATGCAAATCCCAGACATTTAGCTAGTTTCAGCCAGTTTACAACATTAACAAATTRCAATATTAACAAATCAAGGCTGTTTTAAAATAATTTTCTGCTCCACWTATTGCTCACTTCACTGTTCTTTCTGTTCCTATTTTCCTAGGTGCTGTTGGTGATTGGAAGAACCACTTCACTCCAAAGCAGAATATTAGGTTTGAGGAGATATTTAATGAGAAAATGAAACTCAGCAAGATGGCAAAATGCCTCATCTATGAATTTTGAGTGCACATCAAGAACAATATCCACKTATCAACAAACATACACACGCCAATTGGTGGGAAATTCTGAATGGCTGTCCCATTCAGTTTATAATATTTCCAATAGAAAGGATGGTAAACGTGARATTTTTGAGGACAGGAAAGTTCTGAAAAAATGCCAGAGCTGAACTCAATTCTCAGAARGCAGGTGTTTATGGTTTCACAGAGTCAGGTGGCAGACCCATTTTTTGACAACACAATCTACTTCATCATTTATTTATTTTTTTTTTTGCTCCTAGGGGATATGAACAGACTTCTTAGATCTAAATTAGGAATTTTACCCAAGATAATAATAAGAAAAACACAAAAATACAAACCTGTAGAAAACTGAATATATAAAATGTCTGAAAGCACATCGTAAGAAAATGACCAAAAATTTGCTTATTGTGTGATACACCATGATTTGGAAGTTCCTTTCTTATTGGACATTGTTATTGATAATTAAGTTGGAACCGCAGCATTTGAAGATGTGAAGTCTGTTTAGAAAATGTTTCTTTTTTTCTCTCTTTTTTTTTAAACAATATATCGTTCTTTTATATAACTTATTTCTGGGTTAGGTACCATGGAGTCTTTGTGTTTTAAATGTAACTGACAGAAATCCAATTAAATTTCTGCACCATATATTGGGCAACCATAAATGTGTTTCTTTTTGATTTTCTTCCTGCAAAATACCCATTTCCAGTGTTTTGATGGGAATCATTTTACTTCCCACTCCTTGTGCAAGAGAACTCAACAGCTCCACTGTGGTACAAAAACCACAACTCAGAGACACCTTAATCCAAACACCACTTGTTTTACTGTGCCCTGATAGAAGATTTTCCAGGAATTAGCTGTGTCCACATCCCAGGGCTTGTCCTACCCAACCACATGGTTCCAAGGCAGAAAATCATAACAAAAGCTGACTGAAAAGAAACTCATGCAGACAAATGGAATGATTCTTGAGGCAAGCTCCTCCTCTGGATGTGTTGTTTCTGAGGTACAGCCTTGTTTCATCAACACTAATCTYTCTCCAGCCACACTTCACACTTGGCCAGGCAGCCCTTTCATTTCATAMCTGCTTTGTGCACACTGCACAAATCAACACCTACTGATTCTGCACCTGCACAAATGACACAGAAGTTACATGCTGAGGACAGCCAGAGAGAAAACCCTGTTTGCAGTCCTTTGCCATTTACCAATTCAGCATAACCTAAGGGTGATGATGCCCTGAGCCTTCCTTCACACAAATGACCCATTTGGAAACCAGAAGTTTTATGTGTTACTTTGCTCTTCTGACATGAATATCACTCACTCTGACTCCAAAATGCCACTATTGCCCTCCTGTCAGGTGTCACTCTTCCACTATTAATAAGAGGTAAGAGATCAGCTGAGGAAAATGCTTGAACATTTTACTTAGAGACTTATTTTTTCCTGGCCCTTTTTGTATAGCAAGCAAGTCAGAGGGACCTTGGGGGAATGAGGGTTGCAAGTGAGTTTGGCTGCACCAAGACTACATAAGCAGCATTTGCAACACACATTGTAGGCACACATCTAAAGCATCATTTACATCAGCATTGGAATCACAACACGGTACTGTGTGTGAAGGGACAGGATGAGGACTTGCCTTGGSCATCAAGATAAATTTGGTGTACTASTTAAACCTGCCCATCAGCCAGGGAGGTAATGCTRCTGCTCAAACTGCAGTTAGTTCCCTACCTACTTCAGGGCGATGAGGAATTAATCAGTTTACAGCATTTACCTTCTGGCTGAATTAATGATTTGACTAGATTACAATTTAAAAGAAAAAAGTTACAGCAGGACTTCATTGGCAGGTGAATGAAACACAGCTAGGCCATGCATCTTTGTGCAATCCAGGCTTTGACACCAATGACAGCAGCCTAATTGGAGTAGCCCAGACTGGAATTCCYTTGCTCCTCAGCAGGGGCAGCAGTACAGAGGCAAGGCAAGGCACAGATTCACTTTGTTCTCCACATCGCCATGCACAGCCTGCAACTTTACCCCCGAAGCCCCTGAAACCTCTTGACTTCCATAATAAATCAATTATGTGCTTTCTTTGAACAAAGAGCTCAAGGAGTTGATTTACTGAGGTGGCAAGTCAGGATCAGGACTTGTTTGCGAGTTATCAGAACTACTGCCCATAAAATCTGTTCAGACTCCAGGCAGGGACAAATGTAGCTCCAGATCCTTTAAGARGCAGCATTCAGAGAATGGAGTGAATCCAAAGGTAGATCATGATAAATATCGAGAAGAAAACTTAAAGTTCATTAAGCAAAATGAATGGGAGCGTTTTGTATTTGTCTAGATTAGGTAAAGGACCGTGAGGGAATGAGGAGCGGCTGAGGGCACTTGGTCTGTTCAGCGGGAGACGGAGGGAAGACCTCGATGGAGTTACAGCTCCCTCAAGAGGGGCAGAGGAGGGGCAGGCCCTGATCTCTGCTCTGTGGTGACCAGGGACAGGACAGCAGGGAACAGCTGGGTCAGGCTGGATATCAGGGAAAGATTCTGTCCCCAGAGGGTGGTGGGGCACTGAACAGGCTCCCCAGGGAATGGTCACGGCCCCAAGGACAGTTTGGACAATGCTCTCAGGCACAGGGTGGGATTGTTGGGGTGTTCTGTGTAGGGCCAGGGCTTAGACTCCTGATCCTGATGGCTCCCTCCTAACTCAGCCTATTCTGTGATTCTCTGATATTTCATCCCATTTTCAAGCTTTAYCTAACAAACAGAAACACTTCTGCTCAGTCTCCCTCCTCAGAAGGAACAGTGAGTGGTGTCTGACCCCCTTCCCACTTGAGACTGAACTGCTGTGTACAAAGTGTGACCCAGAAAAAAAAGGTGGGACAGTAAAAACAAAATCTTACATGGCCTGTACTAGCCAYAAACAGGTGTTCAACTACACTCTCAGTTAAAAGTTACATCCCTGGAGACATTATCTTAATGTTTAATACAAAAGTAGCCATMCTAGTCCAGATATACATCAATTTAGACCAGAAACTTGTCTGCAAAGTATGTGAACAATCAGGAAGAGCATGTGGTATTTTCCTGCATATTCTACCAACCTCTGAGTACATTTTGGCCAAGAACTTTCCCARCAATTTACTCTAAATATCTCTGACTACTAATGACCACTGATTCACCTGACGTCAGTGTACTCTCACACAATCATGTGTGCTATCTTCCACAAGTTTTTCAGATTGGATGAAGTAACTCCTACTGATAATAGGTAATGCCATGTCCTGCTTCTCACTGACGTGGAATGAACCACTAACACATATTTTGAAACTAAAACAAAATGCAGTTGGGTATTACCTACACAAGAAATAGGAGGAAGAGTCCARGGTTCAGAACCAGAACTGTATCRGGTGTCAGACTCATGGCCAAAGCCYGTTTTAAGTGTGCCGAGGTTCATTAAAGGTCTGTAACCCATGTACAACTTTGGAAATCTGYGAGCTGCAAATGTGCTGAGGCCACAGGAAAACTGGAAAGCACCTCCAAATACAACATGGTAAATTTATAATCCTGACAYCTGATTTGGGTCATTGTTAGCTTCTTCAGTGGCCTTTCCATGGTTTCYTGTCCTTAATTTTCCAGGTATTTTAACACAATTCCCTTCAGTCATCCTTCTTCCAAAGTGAAGAATTCTGACTTGGCTCCCACTGTCACTGAACCCAATTCCTTTCCTCCATTTGTCCTCCCACAAACCTTTGGAATGCTACAGCCTTTTCAAAGCAAAAGAAACAAAACAAGCAGTATTCAAGATCAATACAAACCACTGACTGATTTATATAGTGGAATAATTATGTTTATCATATTAGCTATATATATTTTTTTAATAATTCCTAACATTCAGCCTGCTTTTTGTAACTGCTAGTACACACTTCACCAATTTTCTGAATTAAAACTGTTCAATGAAAATGGATATTTTAGTACATATGACATTAGGATTGTTTCTCAATTAAGTTCGTCTTATTTTATATATATCTCCTCAGTTTCACCAACCCCTCTCTTTACTAACCTGAATAATTTGGCATCATTGCCTTCACATTGCTCACTGCTCATTCTCTTTAACATCCTCTTTTACAAACAATTAAAAAATTCCCTTTGTCTGCAAACAGGAAATAATGGACTCTTTTAGGGGATGTGATCAGTCCTGCTACAGAGGTGTGGGACCTACAGTGTTGGGACTGCTCCCTGGTATTTCTCATTCCTCCAGTATCTCCAGAGGAGTGGGAATGCTCTATTCAACCACAACCACATCCATAAACATCGCTAAGATCAGAAATGGGGATAGACAAACCTATCCCAGAACAAGAGWGAGGAACAAACCTACCATCCAAAGATTGTTTTAGACAAGTGCATTACTGATAAGTTTTTCAACCCACTTATCCATCAGGTTCACACATAATAGTGTTTTTCTTCTGTACAGCATTATTGCTCTTATAATAGTGACATTTAGGATGGTTAATCCTGCTGGGTGTAACTAGACTCATTTGGAGTTATTTCTGGAAAGCGGAAATAGCGTTTTAATAGCAAAAAATTTTAAAAAAAATTAAAAAAAAAGCTGGGTGTAACTAGACTCATTTGGAGTTATTTCTGGAAAGCGGAAATAGCGTTTTAATAGCAAAAAATTTTAAAAAAACCCATCCCCAAACAACAACAAAAACACACCAAAAAAAACTCCACAAAAAACCCCCACAAAAACAGAAAACCAAAACCAAACCAAAACAAAAACCTTCCCACATGGGCTCTGGAAAAACTAGTTAACTAAAATGTGTTCTCAAGGTTTAAAGGTATTAAAAACTTGAAATCACGAAAGATTCAAAAATATCTCTGACTTCAAAAGGCTGAGTTATATATGCTTCATATTGGTTTGAAATGACTTAAGGTCAGAAATTGTTGCATCAACTTACACAAACTGGTAGGGAGTGACACTGACTAGGAGAAAGATAAAAWAAATGAATGGAATCAGAAGTAGGTGAAGGTATGTAGGGATTAATTTGGGCATTAAATCTGCCTACCTTCAACATTATAAGCCATGTGTGGCACATGAACTTGGGAGTGTATGATTTGCAGTACAGAAACTCACCCCAAACCAGCCATAACTGTTCTCCACTCAAAAGACTAGAGAAAGCTGTTTATTTAAAATTTGAGGTTATCAGCTATTTTTTCATAATAGTTTATTGAAAATATTTACATAATTTCATTTCTTTTTCATTTCACATAATCATGATAGAACAGCTCACATGATCTAAGATCTTCTTTGGAATATACTATGTATTTTAAAGCAAAAGAAGTGCTCACATGGCCAAAATATGATTCCAAAACTAGCCCAGTATAAGAAAACTGTATAAGACCACTGAAATCCACTCTGAGTGAGCAACACCCCTCTGATGAAAGGCAGCTGTGGTGCCACATGTACTGGAACAGGCATTGAAAATATATTCTGCACATTTGATGCTTTCCTGAGAGCTGGGACTTCACTTTYAAGGTGACAGAGTTACCCTCATTATCTCTGCCTCTCTGACCCCTAAATCCTTCATATGATTGAGACTCTTCCACAAAAACAAGAGCAGTAATTACTCTGTAATTAGTCTTTCCACTGTAGTGCGGGCGATAGAAATCTGAACGTTTACGACAGCAGATCATGCATATCCTGTATTTTTTTTTGGTAGTCTCTAGAGTTCTCTTATCCTTCATATTCTTTCCAATGTAAGATTATATCATGCTTTTCTAAACAAGAATACATGAGAGTCAAAACATTGATGTCCAAAATGTGGCTCTCCTCTTGTCAAAGTCCATGGGATTTRTCCAGCACAGAACCCTAAAATGTGACTGAAAGGAGGAAGGAGACACTTAAATGATGACTTMGAGCTGATCAGTACAGTAAACAATTGAGCTCTTAACTGTGGATAGSCAGTAAATAATTTCAGTTCAAAATCTTGCTTTGTGAAAGGAAGTAAACACAAAGTTAATCAGAGGCCAGTAAGTCAGGTGATATTATACTGGGAGTGTCTATTTAGCAGAGAAACAAAATAAAGTGAYGAGCCATTATCATTCACCTCACTTATAATTGCCTGTGTACCATGGGTTATTTATTTTTAGCACAACCCAAAACAGAACTTTACTCACTGATAAATGCTGTTGCATTTGTAACATAAAATACAAATCCTATTTTCCATAAATACAAGCATGYAAACCAGCTTTAACATGCTCAAAGCAGTCTGTATATATATTTTATGTAAAACCACAAGCAACTATGGTTTGAATATTTTTTTTTCCAACAACATCTACTTTTCCATGCAATAAACTTACAGACTTTTGTTTGGCTTTAACTCATCAGTGGTCGCAATAAAGTCTTTACAGAAAGAAACTGAGTTTCTGCAAAGATCTCAAAGTCAAGCAGAAATTTAACTCCAAATCTGGCAAAATATTAATTTAAGCACTGCAGTAAAACCCAAAATAAACAGATTCAAAGAGGCACAATTCCAAATGCAATTCAATTATTTATGAGCTTAAAATCGAACACATGCTCAAGTGCTTTTTTAAACTAATATTAACTCCTTTTCCAGTAACTGCATTGTATTTTAAAAATAGAGGAGGAAGTTTTATTGATAGTATTTTGCACCTGACCTCTCCAGCGTAAGTTAAAACTCTTCCTTGCTACGRAAAAATCCAGTAAAATGCAATCACACAACCATAACACTATGCTGACATTTGATAAAACAAATGAAAACCACGTGAGCAAAACTGACAGAAGTTTTGTTTGGTTTTTTTAAGCCTGAATTACAAATATTCAAGTCATGCAAAATCAGTGATCCCTGAACACATACGGATTATGAAATGAAGACGTATCACTCCTGTAGGACAGCTATGATGATTAAGAGTAGACTTACAGGGCACTCTTTTGTAACATTCYTCCCAYTGCATTTAWATGGCTTTTTAAATCATCATAAATAYGATCACATTTTCACCATATAATCATGAATGTGGGACCTGGACACCTTTTAAACTCTACTATGCCGTAAAATTTGAAAGGTAAGCATTCCTCTGGGATATGTTTTTACTGAGGAAGAGGAGAGGAAGAAAAGYAGGATTGACAAACGTTGTTACTCTTTTTCCATTAGTTCCTTATTTCCCTTCCTGCTGTTCTCATTTCTCCCCATTTCCTTCTCTGCTGAACTTATTTCTTTCAGTTGCTTCCTGGCAGAGTTCACTTTCTCCAACAGCAGGAATATGTGTTCTGCRAACTCCCGCACAGCTCCACAGCCACCTCTGCTCTTACAAATGTAACCAGCAGCCTTCTGAGCAGCAGCACAGGCATCAGCAGGAACAGCACTCATGCCTGCCTGCTTCAGGCATTCCACATCTGACTCTTCATTTCCTAGGGAGGAAGGTGACAAACAAGGCAAAATATCACAGACAGGAAATAATGGGAAAAATAAATCACAGCATTTTCTCAGTGTTTTTCTGTGTATGTAGTACTCTGATTTTTGAAATTTGTTTTTTTTTGCCACAATGTTCATCTCAGCAGCTCAACAGCGCTTTGCACTTGTTGGAAAATTAGTTRTTGGAAAAACTTGGTGATCCATGTAAATGCTGATCACACTTCACAATCTTCAGGCAAGAGAACTGTACTTTTAAGAGCAGTACAATTATGTGAGCAGCTGAATAAGCATTTGTGGGGCTCCACACTTCATTTATCACTGAAATACAGAATTTAGCACAGAACCATATGGCTTTCAGTTCTAATTCTGTCTGTTGCTGGTTACCATTTCAAAACATAATCTATACAATATCCATCTAAAATGAACTAGAATCAGTTCAAAATTGCCAACTCTAACTTAAGCTTATTAMCATTTTGATATCAAAGTATTTCCTAAAAACAAAAGCCTTCCTTTACCCAATTAGAAAAACAGTGAAGACTTCCCTTACSAAATCACACACTGATTCATCAATGYCTTTAACATTTAGATTGTATCCTARTAAGCCTTAAAAYACCTGCTTTTGGTGAYTGYGTGCTGCACTCTGCACAGCAGTCGTGTTTAGAAAGAGAAAAGTGGTCTGAAGCTCTGCAGCAACATAAAGTTTCTATTAGTCTATATTATTTATATTAAATATACCAAAATGGAAGAGATGCCAATTAAAAATAAGCCAAAAGAAAAGGAACTAACCTAAGTAAGCCACCTCTTTCCAGCTCAAACCCATGTCTTCCTGCCAGTCCTTCAAGACTTGTAGTTTATTTGTTGCACTGACTTTTGCTACACAACCCAGCTGCATGGCTGACAATGTTTTTGAACAATCTCTGTCAGAGATGAGTCGAACCTATTGAAATAAAATTAGAGTAGTAAGTTCTACATACAAAGAAATACAACAAATATGTTGAATTACTTTTAAAAAATGTAGTTTTGCTCAGAGAAGCTCTCTCAGGTATCAGAGAGAGCACACATTACCTAAAGAGAATCCACAAGAAAGATGGAGAGAGACTATTTAAAAGGGCCTTGACTGACAGGACAAGGGGAAAGGTCTTCAAACTGACAGAGAGGAGCTTTATATTGGATATGAGGAAGAAATTGTTCCCTGTGAGGATGGTGAGGCCCTGGCATGGGTTGCCCAGAGAAGCTGTGGCTGCCCCATCGCTGTGAGTGTCCCAGGCCAGGCTGGATGGGGCTCTGAGCACMCTGGGATAGTGGAAGGTGTCCCTGMCCATGGCAGGGGGTGGAAYGAGATGATCTGTAAGGTCCTTTTGAACCCAAATATTTCTATGATTCTATGAAATGGAGAAAGGTGCTATAACTACTGTAATTCAGATTTWGAACTTTCTCAAAACATGCATTTTCCTCCAAGGGTTCTGATTACAACATTTGTTCCACCAATATATTTTGCTACTTTATTACAAGTACTGTGAAGAAACTTCAGCTTCTATGCTGCAAGATTATTATTTTTTAGGATCTTTTTATGTCCAGGTTACATGAGACATTCAGGTTCACACTTCAGAACACCACTTACCTGGATTCCTCTTTTCTTCAACAGATCAATGCCAACAATATCTCTGTAATCATAGGAGACCATTTCCTTATGATCTTCTGTCACATAAATGCGACCATTGGTCAGGCATCCATCAATACTGCAAACCAAGAGCTTCACCTCTTTTAGTGGCTCTTTGCCAAAATATCCAAAACTAGACAAAAAAAGATGGAGGTTTTAAGATGGAATTTTTTGCACATTCCAAACCCCAAATATTTCCCATACAATTGTAATTTTCAGACAGAAGAATCAGCTTTGAAATTCTTTTCRAATGTTTTTTATCATCATCGTCACTCCCAACTATATTTTCCCTCTTCAAAGAAACAGAAAGAACAATCCAAAAGACAGCTCAGCTACATTGTCCGTGTAAAAATTAGGATTGATTTTCTTACCGTTACAGGCTACATTCAGTAGCATTTATTTGGGGCAAAAYCAAAATGGAGTAAAGAATGAAAAAGGCACAGAAAACATATTTCATCCTGTCTTGGGTTGATGTTGTGCCAATCCTGTATTCCTATATTCCGTCAGCTTGTATGCCCAAAAGGTGTCTGTGCCTTTAAATCTGACCTGGAAGAAGGGGCAGGGGGGGTGCGGGCAGTTTAAAAACTGGGGCTGCCGTGCAGCCATTGGCTTTTGGACCTCAGCTCCGGGCTGCGGGAGTCGTTCTCGCTGCGTGCAGGCGAGTTACATCATTGCCATTTAGCTAGCTTGGGTTTGTTAGCTTGGGYAAACAGCTTTCCCTGGACCGCCACCCCTTTGTAGGACATGTGTGATTTTTCTTCTGGAGCAATTTGGCAGCTGGCAGGGACAAGAGGTGCTGCTCTGTCTCGTCCCGGACTCCAGAAGAAGGCAAGCTGGTGACAGAAAAGCACACCGAGCCCTCTGTTTCATCCATGGTGAGGACTATCATCAGGTTTTTTTCACTGTTGCCCAAGTGCCATGTGGACTTTTTTTTAAATTTCTTTTTTCCTGGGGATGGGAGCTGCCATCTTTTCTCTGCACCACATGGCCGAGCGGCTGTGGGGGGAGAGAGTGGCATGTGTTCCTGGACTTTTAAATACCTATGGTTACTTTTTATCTGTGTCCTGTGGGCACTGTGTTTTGTTAATAAACTACTTTTTTCTTTTTCTCTTCACTTTTGTCCGATCATCTATTTCATATTGGTGGGACAAAATTATCAAATTTTTCACCTCAGAGGAAACATTTACTCTGCAACGTTTTATCTCTGAAAACATTGTCTCAAACTGACACACATTCCGACGCATTATTTCCTTAAAATAGCTGCAGAGAAAATGCAGCTAGTGAGATGGAATAAGTCCATACCTTCTACACAAACACTCTCATTTCTGTGTACCAGTTTTTGTGGTGCAGACCATGGAAATCTGGGGCACCTCAGCTGGAAAGCCAGAGAGGATGATAACACACTGTCGTGATATAGTGGGGCTTACACTTTTCACCAAGCTGAACCTTAAAGAAAGAAACTAAACTACCAAAACCCCACCATATAAGAAAGGTAATTCAGCCAATTTCAACAGACACAGGAAGAAAAGCAATTGGGCAGAAATAAAGCTGCTCAATTATCTTTTATCTTCATTGCTTACATTCCATACATTATGAATTCACATGACCCCACTTTGAAACAGGCAGCATGAAAAAAATAAGGGAATAAAAAGTGCTTTTACCTCAACACCCTCTGCTCAGCAATAGGCCAGTCAATGTCTATATCAATATCCACACTGTGCTCTGCACGCATTTCATAGTAGGCCATTTTACCACCCTGAAGGAAACAAAACCCACTCAAATTTTCTGCTTGGGTCAACACAAAAACAAAATAGTACAATTTAGCACCATGCAGTGAAAGCCAAGTACCTGGTTGCACAGTGGCCACCATGGCTTATATAAAAGTGAACCATCAATAATGTTTTGCCAGTGACACAAAACCATTGAAGGAGCCTTCAGGTTAATAACTATTTCCATTTTACAACTAGAGAAAGTGTCCAAGATTTTGTGCATTAAAGCAACTACATCACTCTAATTTCACTAAATATTTTAATCAGCAAAATACTAACACCTTTAGCATTTACTTAGGAAGACTATGATTATTATTTGTTTATTGTTACTTAATTTCTAATGGAAAAATATCCACCACACCCCACATGCAGTGTTGATTCTGCATCACTACGATGGGATGTAAACATCAGAAAAGGGAATAAGACTGTTAAAGTTACAGTACAAAATTAGCATAAAATAAACTGTCTGAAAATACAAATACAAATTTATAGACGATGACAATTTATAGATTATGCATGAAGCTCAGTTTCACACCCTTAGTGGCACTAAAAAGAATTATAAGGTACACTAGTGAACTCATGCAAACTCAGTATCGTACTGGTTTAGCTATATTATGCCCAATATCATTTGCATAGATTTATTTGCCATAGAAGATGTTGTTCCTGGAACTGCTCTAGCTATAACTAACCCTGCTAAGTTACAAATAATCAGCAAACAGTTCTAAAATCAAAGTGCTGTTGTTTCACACTGACTGCATCAGAAATTAAAACAGGGGATTGAATTCAGAAGCCTCTACAGCAAGAGTAGATGTACTGTTCTGAAGATCAAGAAAACCAGAAGCACTAACCTGCAAGTAGCCTTTCTCAATCAAATGTCTCTTGGCAAAATAAAATGAGCCATTTTCATAGAGCTCCCCAGGCCAGTCTTGCCTCCGGTACCGCTTTGCTGGATTCAGGTTTTGGGGTTCTGTCATCTTGTTTTCTGTTAACAAAGAAAAAAATAAGCTTTCTAGGATTCCTGCTCAAGTCACTTAACTTCCTAAATAACTTTCTGTTGAAAAATTAAGGGAATAATTCAGTCACCAACTTCTTTCATTACTGCTTCTTGTTGCTTGACTTTACAAAGAATCCCAGACTGGTTTGGGGTGGGAGGGACCTCAGAGATCATCTCATTCCACCCCCTGCCATGGGCAGGGACACCTTCCGCTAGACCAGGTTGCTCCAAGCTCCATCTAGCCTGGCCTTGAACACTTCCAAGGATGTAAAATCCACAGCTTCTCTGGGGAATTACTGAATTTCTTCTCTTTCTTGGAACTGTGGATAAACTGAGGGACTAYTCTTTTATATTTAGCCATGGAAAAGGGAATATTTCATTACAACTTCAGCAAAAAAAACCCAAATCAAACAACACAACAACACAACAACAACAACAAAAACCTAAGAGATTATTTGCTCTTAAACTGATTACTACAAGGAGTAAGGGGGGATATTCTTCCAGAATGTCCTTGCCAATGTGAAAGAAATACTATCCTACTGCTCCATCTCCTATGCACACAGGAATGCCTGAATGCACTCTGATATCTGAAACAACMAACCTGAAATGTGGAAGGTGAAAAAAGAGCTTATATGAATAATTTTTGCCTGTGAAAACATCCTGACACTTCCCCAAAATACATCCTATTTAAAGATATGTATTGTGTTAACKCTTCATAAGTGGTTTAATCAGTGTCCACAAATAAACCAACAACTGTCTGCACAAGCACCATCCCATAAAATCCCATATTATTACCCATCAACAGTAGTWCATGCAGCAGAAACCAAACCAGAGAGAGAGACTTCTGTCATTGAAGCCACTTCAATCCAGATGCACAAAGCAGCTCAAATTCACAGATGCATGATCCAATAACCACAAGAAAGTTAGAGGGCATTCTCAAACACCCAAAACATCCTGAGGCTTTAGTAGACATACATGCACCTTATGTTTCATAAACAACTAAAGCTTTATGTTCATTGTAGTAAACATTTTCAGAGAGCCACACCTTTCTCTTTCAGGGTGTATCAATATAAACCTAAATGCAGAAGGAGCAACCGATCTACACAGAAAAAAAAATTCCCATGAAATTCTTTTAACATAATCAGTACTCTAAAGCTGTATGGAAAAATAAAAAGARGAAAACCCATTGTATAATGCTGCTGTGAATAGTTGTCAGCTGAAACACCACACTCCTGAAAGACCATCTTCATTTATCCTAAGCTGCTCATGTTGGCACAATGTATTCTCTGTTCTCTTCACATAAACTCTTTGCAGCTGAATGATTCCTCATCTTTTACCACATTGAAAACCTTTGGCTATCATTTTATGCTGGAGAATTACTTGCTCTTTCMGATAGGCCTTGGGGTTTTTTATTTGAACAATCTGCTTATGGCACACAACCACTTCARAAAGCCCTATGACACATCCACATGAGATTTATTCTTTCACATTTGTCCCTTCCAGCATCTCACACCGTGCATGCAGCTTCCTGCAAGTGCACATCCACAGAATCCTGGAATTACCAACCATGTTTTTGATACTCCGTTGGCACTGCAGAGACAAACTGTGCCACTTATTTCTTCTCTTAAGAGGAACAATGACAGTGTTCAAGTGTTTATTCTTAAAAGGCTTAACTTTTATTCCAACTTATCTCTATGACCAAGCTTCATTTATTACACATGCTCTTTTACCGCACAATGCTTTCTAAACTCACAAAAAAACTCCAACACATGAAGCAATTTATATCTCAACAGAATAACTATAATGTGCGAGTAACTTACATTTAAAAAAAATAACCCAATGTGATGGTACCCAAAATAATGATTTTTAAAAAATGAAGAAAACATTCTGCTTTAACTACAGAAACAAAATTAACATACACAATGTGTGGAACAGTTCTTTCTACCAGGACAAAAGGTGCTGTATAGCTAAACCAAGGTACAATATTTGTAAAACTTCAGTCTTTAGTTATCTTGGCCACTGTAGCTGAGAGGCATATTTTCCTCTTGGAAAATCAGTCTTATTCTTCTGAATGAGCTAATTAACATGAGTTCAACCCTCATGACTCAAAGGCAGTCTGCAATGTGACACAAGTCAGTAGACAAATTATCAGGGTGAACCAAAGCCTAAATCTCCAGGCCAAGAAATTTCCACCCCATCTTCACCAAGACTTTACCTCACATTATGTGTCATTTGTTGGCTACTGCATAGCAAGAACAAACAATTTTCTAGTTAAGACCTCAGAATCATGTCTGAAAAACCATGAATACCCACTGGGAAGAAGTTAACATGTAAGGCTTTTTGGAGCTGTATTTTCAGCTAGACAAGTTAATATAATTTCAGTTTCTACAAAACAATTACAGAAAAGTTGAGCAATGCTCAACAACATCAAGACAGAAGTACTTGGAAAGAATTTCTAAGCCATCTCACATCTCTCAGAGAGAACTYAGTCCATGCCTCAGACATCACTTCCTAAAATTCCATGAGGAAGAAAAGCAAGCATTTGAAAAAAAAATTAAAAATTAAGTATAACTGTAACCAAAACCACCTAAATATTACCTCCTTTCTTTACTTCACTCCATCTGAATTGATGCCGCCTCACAACAGAGAACACAGAATCAAACCCCTCCTTCTGGATCAGATCTGCCACTTTTATAAGGTCACTGGGATGTAAACAGGGAGATGTTGCTTGAATATTTCCTACAATATCAACCTCTAGAGGAAAGCAAAGAGACATTTATGAAACAATTCATGCTTTTAATAAAACAACTGCAAAGTGTGGTATGAGTAGGTACCACATGCCAAAAAAAAAAGAATCTTTCTAGCTTTTATTTACTCAATGCTTTACTYATTTTTCTAAATAATAAGTGCATCACCCTTTTGGGGCTACAATACARAAGCTCAGCATATTTCAACCCTGATTTACCATGATGATGATTGAGAAACTCTGTGATGGCTTCTAGGGAAGTTGAGGAGTCTTGAGAGACTTCAGGGCTTCTGCGATGGACCTGAGCACCAAACTGCTTTGCAACCTTCTCGATTTCGTCATGGTCTGTAGAAACCCATATGCTGTTGGCAGACAGAGACAGAAGTTATTATAAAGAATAAATCCCACCATTTTTGACTTGCCTGTTTTAATTTAACCTGGAAAAAACCCCATGTTATTTATGTCTGTACTACACCTTGCAATGAAAGGATCTGGTTTTTATATTTGTGTTAGTGAAACTACCTCAGTCAGTCCAAAAAGCAGCTTTTAACAATGGGGATAAAACATGAACATTCACTAAAATCCGAACCTTGAACTGCATTTCATCCAGGAAGCTTAAGCAACATAAAATTTAGAAGTGTTATCAGAAAAATCCAGTGTCAGCACACAGAATTTGTTAGGCATGCTAGCAGATCAAAGAAATGTGAATTGGTTTAATGTGGCATTCAGAACGTAAGAGTTCAGATACAAGGCCAACAAGAAGTAAAACKGCCACAAAGTTAGATTAGCTTATTCTACAAGTGTGTTAAAATGTGTTAACTGGGCTCCATGCATTCCCAGAGACGAGCYGTTCAAGTTAAGCATGTTTTGGCACAGAAAACTTTCAGTACTGGTCAAGCAAGATTGTGATCATTCAGAGAAAATAAACATTTACAAAAGGAAGGGCTAATTCTGAATATCATGTGATGACAAACATCCAGCAACTGTGAAGCCACTGCTGTCATTGTGGTGACAAAAAAAGCATGTGAGGTGTRAAACAAAAAGCTATGAAGTCGCCCTTCCTCTCTCAGCAATGCTGGCATTCTCAATGCACTGTCCACAGCAAATGGTGCTGCACTTACATTTCTTCACCCATACTGGGATCATCAGAAGAGAAATATGTGCGACAGTAACAGGAATGTCAAGTCACACCCACAAGAACAAACACACAAAAGGTGTTTTCCAGTAACTGCTTTGGGATGGTTARCTTAAATACACACTCCCCATTCAGCTAACAGGGTTTTATTGTGTAACAGGTACCCTACACAGCTGTTCTAAAGGTGACCAGGTAAACCTAGTGCACATCCACCTACTGCACCTGCCATGCCTCAAAGTCAGGCTGCACAACCCTGACTGGCTTCCTGTTGAGAAAACTCAGATGCCAAACAGAAGCCACAGCAGGCCATTGAGCAATATAGATTCACAATCATTAAGAAATCATCAGTAACCTAGATCAGAATTGTTGTTGTCTGTTTCTTTATTAAAAATAAAACAGGATGTGACTTCCTCTGCTTTTCAGATACAGCAAGAAAGGTCTTCCAGACTAGACAATGATACAGCAGCTACGAGATACAGAGTGCTACAGCTCTGGATCTAGCTGGGCTACATTTCTACCTCTCTGCATCAAGTCCTTGCTCTGAACATTATGCAGGTTTGCCCTGGGAACCTGCCCCTAAGTGTACTCCGTATCAAGCACATCCTAACCATGGTTTTCATAATCAGCATATGTGTAGAAGATCCTCAGTTGTGCTCCTGCAGAAAAATCTGTAATGTYCATATTCTCAACACCACCAACACACTTGTTTATATCCAGCTCTAATTATTGCTACCAGAGTTTCAGGCACTTGGCCACAAACTAAGCTTCTCTTCTGTGTCACATGGGCACACAAGATTATTTCCTTCCATTAGATATTTGTGAGCTTGCTTCTGATGTGCTTCTGGGCTCCCTGATACCAGAAAGGAAAACRGGAGCAAGTCCAGTGGGAGCCAGCACAAGGACTGGGCCTGGGAGCACACATCRGCCAGGAGATGCTGAATGAGACATCTTGGCAAGGAGGCTATTTCACTGCTGGGCAGGTAGAGAGCAAATAAGGAAGCTTTTCCTGGGGGAGTGCAGTGAAAGGAACAGAAGGGCTGTGRGGTCTCCATCCTTGGAGATCCCCAAGGTCAGTGGATGCAGTTCCAATTACCCATATGACCAGGCACCAAAGTCATCCAGCACTTCAGYAGTTCACAGGAGATTATCTCCAGCCTGGCAGTTCCATTTAATGCAAATGTCTTAATTAAGTAAAACCATCAATGTTCGCTGGCAAACATCACCAGCCAGTGGCCACCAAACCACAAATCAGAACTACTTTAATTTTAAATTACTGTGTTGTAAGACTTTAATTTCTTCATTCCTCTGCTGCTCATCCTCAGCRGAAAGGGACAGCTGAGTTCTTGACAGGGTGCTTGTCTTGGCTGGCCTTAACCTGGTGCACAGTGACTGCACTCCCTTTAGTGAGGATCTCCTTCAACACCCCTGTCTCATCGGCAGTCACAGGGTGGGTCAAGCTGGAAGGGACCAGAGCGGGTCATCTGCTCCCAGGGTCACCTGCAGCAAGTGCACAGGATTCCATCCAGGCAGGTTTTGAGTATCTCCACCGCGGGAGACTCCACACCCTCTCAGGGCAGCCTGTTCTAGTAAAGCATTTCTTCTTCGTGTCTAGGTGAAACTTCCTGGGCATCAGCTCCTGCCCGTTTCTCCTGTGCCATTTTCTGGGCCCCAGGGAGCAGAGGCGGGTTCATCCTCGGAGCCCTCTCTGCAGACACTGACAGACATCGCTAAGACCCTTTTGACGAAGCAGCGGCTTGCCCCAACGCCTCCCCTACGCCGCGATCCGTCGGCACCCACACTCCAAAGCAGAACCCCCCAGCAGTCCCG